AGGAGTAAGGAAGGTGGCACATCTCGTACCTAGTTAGATTCATATCATTCTAATTTGTGGTCTAATTCCACTTCCAGTCACGGGTCGGTTTTATAAATCAGATATTTTCAATGTGCACCTTATCAATGCTAGGGCTTTATACTTTTAACCGCCTCAGGTTTCTAGGGATAGCCTAGCTATCTTTTCTGTTCAATAGGGCTCTATCATTAAAGGATAGAGTTAAACTCTTATTAAAATTTTAGTTTTGCAGTATCTCTTTCCGAGCATACTTCATTAGGCCCTATTCAGCACACACTTCCCTGTTTGAGAATACTTTNGTTCAATAGGGCTCTATCATTAAAGGATAGAGTTAAACTCTTATTAAAATTTTAGTCTTGCAGTATCTCTTTCCGAGCATACTTCATTAGGCCCTATTCAGCACACACTTCCCTGTTTGAGAATACTGTCTACCGAGCAGATCCCTTTCAGTGGATTCATTCTCTGCCAGGCTTCTAATCAATATGCTCGGCCTAAGGCCAAAATTTGCTTGACTAGTTTACGGTTTTGTTCGGTTGAACCTTTATCCGCTCGGTCGTGTCTGAGTTAAATCTTTTCAGGACATGCAATCCACCATGCGTCCTGATTCAGTTGGCACATCATGGCTCAGAGATTCTAAAGCCCTTCAGTGTTGGGATGGTTGCATTGAATACTGACTTAATTTTTAACATTTTTAGTCCAAAGTGAGCGNATCCGCTCGGTCGTGTCTGAGTTAAATCTTTTCAGGACATGCAATCCACCATGCGTCCTGATTCAGTTGGCACATCATGGCTCAGAGATTCTAAAGCCCTTAAGTGTTGGGATGGTTGCATTGAATACTGACTTAATTTTTAACATTTTTAGTCCAAAGTGAGTGTTCTTGGATTCAAACTTGCTATTTTCAGTTTGTGAACCCAAGTATTTGTGTTTGGACAATTGCCTAGTGCAATGAACCCTGTCTCCTTGTGTTCCAGCATATTACCATTTGTTTCTTTTCCTTTCTTTTCATCTAACTAGTTAATGTACCCGTGTGNCAAAGTGAGTGTTCTTGGATTCAAACTTGCTATTTTCAGTTTGTGAACCCAAGTATTTGTGTTTGGACAATTGCCTAGTGCAATGAACCCTGTCTCCTTGTGTTCCAGCATATTACCATTTGTTTCTTTTCCTCATCTAACTAGTTAATGTACCCGTGCGTTGCACATGGACTAATTCGAAATGTAATATTAAATTTTTTTTTTCTTGGAAGTTTTATTGTTCATGAGTTGAGTATATGGTTATGAATATCAAGCAAGAAAAAAGAAAAGAAAAGAGAAGATAGAAAGCATAAGTACTTATGTATTCACCACATTAATGTTCACTTTTTGAAATCTAAGTTCTAACATGATTACATCTTTTTTGCTTCTAAATTAATCTTGGCATAATATCTCTTCAGCATAATATCTCTCCAACCTAATACCATACCTAGCTCATGTAATCAATATTAATTTGAGCCAACGTGAAAACGAACCATGGGAAACAATAAAATTCACTGCATAAATACATACCTTTATACAAAGTTCGTAATTGGAATACATAAGTTGATCTATTACAATCAAATTAAAATGGGTGTGTTGAGATTCTATTTATCTATACTTTGTTTGTAGTTATCGAACATTAAACAAAGATATCTTATGCAACACATTTATTTTTTTGAATAGGTTATGAAACGCATTTCTCTCAATCATTTTCATTTGTTACATATGCAATTTTTCTTCGTAGATGCCTTTAATCAAGGCAACATAATTTAAGAGATGAAAACATAAGTTATTCATTTTAAAACTTGCAACATTTAATTGAAACGCCAACTACTTTTTTTTTTTTTATAATTCACTCAAGCTCAATAAATTGCAATCTAACCAAGGCTATTCTTTAATTTTTATTTTCTCCAAAGTTTATATGTTTAAATATGATCAAATAATAACTTCATCATATAGATATACACAATTTAAATAAATTGAATTGTATATGAGTATATCTAAATTCAAATATGTTATGTTGTATTCGAACAATTAGTCAAAAATATTAATCCATATCCAACTAATCAAATTTACAGTTTGGGTATTGATCAAAATTTACGCTGATCTACTGATAAATCTACATATATGAATGCTCAAAACCAAGCACCCACAAATGCAAACCCCCTTCCCCCCGAATTTCAGTCTAGCCCAATTTAAAATGTGTTGCTAAACAATCTGATACATCACTTATTACATTGACCAAAATGTAAATCTCCCCATTATTTGCATTTTTACATGTTTTGAAATTTTGATCACGAGTACAAATAGCTTCACTATTGTAAATGAATACAAAATGATATAATTTTTTCCAAAGGTAACACAAAATGATATTTACAAAGTTACCTTTAGTTATTTTGGAGTTAGGGGGTGTTTGATTTTGGTACATGCGATGAAATTATTGATGATCTAGTTTATATTAGTTGTAACAATCTGCGTATTATATTATTTTATCTCATTTGTACTATGAATGTTTTTTAAAACTGAGATAACGTTTTAGTGCATTATCATAATATCCATCCTATATATGTTTGGATAAGAGATTAATGCATACATTAAGTTGAAAAAATGAAAAAACTTTTCCATCCAATCTTCACTAATATTAAATGAATAGACTTTATAACATGATCCAAACATGGTGTTACATGATCACTAAAGTAATTTATTATAATATTACATTTTAATACCTGAATTCATCTTGCCCTTAATCTACTGACATGAACATAAATAATCAAAGAAAATTAATTATTAGATATATACAATAAACGTCACAAAGTTGCATAGGTGACTTGTGTGATCCAAAGGGTCCAACCATACCCTATCTAGTCTATGTGTGTGGGGGTGTGCATGAAAAGAAACTGACCTATTTACCTAAATCAATTAAAAATATAAAATATAAAAGTAATTGAATCCAATTTAGATATTGCCAGCACCCATCCTTTTTTGCATTGCCAATTGCTTGTTTAGATCAACTTTTTTAGTGAAAGGTATGTGAAGGCAATGAACTTGTGTCTTTCCAACATGCAAAAGAATTGCAATTGAATCATAATTTTTCACCTGTGCATTTGTTGTTGTTGCATGCAATCCCTTTAATAAAGTATAATGCTAATGAACACTTCAACTTCTTATTGGGTCACTCTATTTTAGTATGTTTTCTGTTATAGCTCCAAGTAACATGGTGATTTACTAACTTCATGGTGACACCATATATAGCCTGAGCAACTCAAGGACTGAGTCCTTAATAAACTTTTTTTCCTTGTTACAAGACAGTCTTTCTTGTCAGTTAAAATTTTTTAATTTTTGTTAAAATTTTATCTTCATTTAGAATTGCATATTTGTCCTTTAATTAGTTCTGTTATTTGACATACATACTATTATGGAGTATGATCGTTCACCCTTTATCTATTTTGCTTGTATTAACATCTCTTTTCCAAAAAAAATAATCCTAATTCCCAAGGCTTAACCAATTTCCTAATTCCCATGGCTGCTTTGAAAATTGAAACTTGCAGTTTGTGCTCATCTCATGCTATTCTCAAAATTATTTCATCTAATGATCAGTACCAATAAAAATTCAACACTCTCTCCCCTGAACCAACCTTATTGGATAATGGTGAGCATGCATCTGAAGGCTCTATTGAATAAAAAGTGTCACATTTCTTAGATTCCTTGATTGCTAGACCTGATATTTTCTATAAAACAAATAATTTAAATCACATTCATCTACTATCGCTGAAATTATTAGTGAATGCATAAACAAATCAAAACATCATATAACAAGCATCATACCTAATTATCATCTTAATCCGAGAAAAAAACTTCTTGATTACAATAACAAAACTTGAAGACAAAACACAAAGATAGATGGTGAGAAGAGGATGGGGAGGGAAGAAAGAAATAGAAAAAGGGGGGAATAAATGACTAATCAAATCAAAACCACCATGGCCATAACAACCATTACACTCAATTATCATCTTTATCCCAGAAACAAAATTCTTCATTACAGTAACAACACTTGAAAAGTGAGAGCACATAGAAAGATAGTGGGAGAGAGAAGGAGAAAGCAAGCAATAAGTTAATGAATTGGTGAATGACAAGGTTTTTAAAGCAAGCCTGCCAAGTAGCAAGACTATGGAAGGTTGAAGTTCTATATTTAACTATGTACCCAAAAAAAAAAGTTCTATATGTAACTTACCTTTCAGAAGCTCTATATGTAACTGACACAACCAATGTAGATGGAATACAAAGGTCCAAAACTTAAGAAGGCATCTCTTAAAGGCATTATTGAACTTAAATAATTTATTGCAATTATTGGACCAAGGATTAAATCGAGACAAAATAGGAAAATAAAAGTTTTTCACCATAAGAGACTTTTATAGGTAGTATAGATAGGGTTCACATCATTGTTTATATATTAATTGATCCATTCTCAGGGAACAGGTTCATGTGTGCTCTGTGGCTGCAAGCTGTAATGCCTAAATTAATGCTTTTTGTTTACTCATTTGATGTAACGTCATAGAAGAATCAACTTTAATCGGGGAAAGGGGATGTAGTAACTTTAAGATTTCAAATTTAAGTTGAGCTTTCACTTAACCAAATTCTACCAACTTGCCCCTCAAATTGAGCTTGTATGCGTATATTGATTAAGTTATTCATAAATATCCCAAATGTTTTGAATTGCATTCAAGAATACACTTATCTTTAGTGCTCTTACATTATTAACTTTGAAAACAGGAATACAAATTTTTCTTTTTGGCTCTTCCTGAAGATTATTAAGTTTTAAATGCACATTTAATCCATGCAGAACACATGGTGCACAAGATGGTGCTACATTTGAATTTAGTGGAACTTCATTTAGGTGATTGTGTAAATTTTGGACATAATTCAAATGAGCAACAACATAATTCACTAAGCAACCTAGTGGGCAACAACAGAATGGTCTCCAGTTCTAGTAGAGTGCCCTGTGTTACAGATTGCATTGACCTTCTACTGACCCTGTGCCAAAACGCACTATACTCAAGTAGGGTAGCTATGAATCTGTATTCTGCATCAAATGTTCGGTTTGTCATGACAATGTAGGTCCACCCGTTGAGATGTGGATGATTTACATCAAATGCACCTACACCTCAACCACCTTCATTCTACTCAAGTTGCGTAGATTTAACTCTATAGTTTTTCTTACTAGCAACTAACAATTACTTGAGATTATTACATGCTTTTGTAGAGTAATAGACAATTTAAACTGGATTCAATATATGTCTAAAAGACTAATGGGAAAGGATCAAGGTTAACTTCTCACAAATTATTTAAACTAAGCGTTCTCCATTTTCGTGGATTTTATGTGGAGTACCTTGACTGTTTTGTAATTATATATTTTTTCTGAAGGAGAAAAAGTGATTTTCGGTGGATTGGATGTTTTAATGTCTCATGGAGCTGGGCTTCTCGGATCATTTCCATATACTTGTTCTGCCTCAATTTTGTTGCAGATGCTCACCCTGATCCATCTTTTTCACTTGCTTATGCATGTGAAGATGTTCAAAATTATTTTGCTGGTGTGCAGCATTTGAGAGGTGAAGCACTGAAGGAAAAATTATATTCCATAATTGCTAAGCATCAATCCATCTCCTACAGAGAGGTAATTCCATTCAGGAGATTTTTCTTTCTTCTGTTGCTACTTCTACTTCTACTGCCACTGCAACCATGTTTGGATCTAGGATTTGGGTTTAGGGGTGCAAATTCTTCTGATAGGTCTAAGAGGTGGCACTAAGGAAATAGAAATAAGTTGGCGAGGGTAAACTTCTTCAAATTGTGAGGATCATTTCATAAATTCAATATCAATCTAAGGGATTTTTCAAATCTTGGGGGACGGTTGCCTCCCCCAGATCCATAACTGTTGCACAACCATGCTGACTGTTGAAAATTATTTGGTATTCTCTATCTTGAAACTGAGATTTATTTTTGAGATTAGGTGTGGGATGCAATCAAGATTCTTGACGCTGCTGATGTAGATGAACCGGAAGCTTCACCAGCAGTGTAATTGCTTGCAAACTTTAATTTTGTCCTTTAATATGAATTTTTGATTTTATATGTATGATGAATTCATTGCCACTTTCTGGCTTACAGTGTTGAAATTTACTCTTTGAGAGTTGTCCCAAAGCTCTTAGCAGGAAAACCAGAAGGATGGAACAGTGAGTTATCGATCCAGATTGTTGTAGTTGCACAGTTTGGTTATTGTATTTTTGACTAAATTGCAGTGTATTTAACAAAGGTTTCAATGGGTACTATCTTCTGGTTTGTATCTGATGTCCGGCTCAGGGTAAGTTTCTTTGCTTTCTCTTCTTATCATTTTTTTGGTCTTATGAGGCTTGGATCCCAAGATGAGGAGGAGAGAGGGAGCCTCTTGGAGGCCACTCGAAGCCAACAGAGCTAGGCCCGTGGTGGTAAAATATGGTGAATTTTATTGCAATGATGCAGTCCACCAAGGGGTGCAGAAGAAAGTAAATTGAAAGAAAGATGGCTGTGGGCAAGTCTTTTTGATTCTAAGGCAGGGGCCCACTTCGGATCTTATATAACTAGGTCTCCAGTCTAATTTTATTCAGAAATTTTAAAGTCAAAAGGACTTTAATATTTCAAATTTTGCGTTGAAGGAGTGGTTGCCATGTTGGGCTTTTTGATTGCGGGTTCACTTAGCAATTCAGGTAAGGTCTGAAGGGTTTAGAAGGTTACCTTCCAAGAAGGGTTTGAAAGGTCCACTAAAAGTTCCAGGTTTTTGTTTTTATTTGGCTCCCAAGAGTAACTTGGACACCAAATTCTCTTAAGTCTCATTCATCTGTGCTGTTGTATTGGCTTGTTTTGGAGTTTAAGGTGAAGAATATGTCAAACCTACTATGCTGATGTGTGGCCATTTTTTTCTTGGGGGTGACTGAAGAACCTGTCTGTGCCCAGTTTTCTGTTGTCTTATTCTTGCCCTTTGTTCTTATTTTCAAATATATATATATATATTTGAAAACTATAATTGATGCAATCCATAAGATGCTCAAGAAAACACAAATTCGAAAATGTGAAAGATAATGGAATTGACTTTCCATCAAGACAAAGATCCATATGGAACCTTACATTCTTATTTTAAGTCAATTTGCTAGTATTAATATTTTATATGTCCTTTTAATATTTTTAGTGTCAGGGGTATTTTTGTAATTTCTAGAATTTCTGGAATAGACATATTTTTGGGTCAAATTCTAGTATTGAATATTTTATAATTTAAAGTCCTAATTCTAGTTAACTTTACTTTTCTAATTTGTAGGGACCTAGTGTTTTTGAAGTTTTAGAGACTTTGGAATCCTAATCTTTTGGAATTAGGATTACTTAGAACTCTATATATAGTTAGTGTTACTTTTAATGTTGGAGAAAATGAGAGATATTCAGAATTTTGAGTAATTACATGTTTCTTGAGTTATGTGATGCAATTCTAATCCCGGGTGTGTTGCCTACGGACCCCTAGGAGTGATTACTAACCAAAATTACTGTTCACGCTACTGTTCACAGTCCCTGAACAGTCCCTATTTTTTGTTTTACATAGTTGTCCTACATCAATAATTCTGCTTACTGTCTTTGCTTGAAAAGTGAAAACACACATAAAAACCTTTCGGCCCATCTAAACTTCAAATTGAATCTCTAGGCCCTTGCTTACATACTCCTAGTCACTCATAAGCCGTTAAAGCCAACACCCTTAACTCTGAAAATAATGCTGAGTTCTGAAAAGATCCTGCATCAGAAGATTTGGTATCATTTAAATTCAGGTGCATCTTTTTTGTTATGTAGAATAACTAGTTTTGTGATTATGTTGTCAGTTTACAGGTTTTTAGTTCACCCCATGTTGCCTAATCATGATTGGATCTTGATTTATGAGACTTTGCAGCTCACTAATATGGTTATTGCCTTGTAGCCAAGCCTGCTTATCGGTGTTAAGTTTGTAGAAGTAATATATTGCTGCCTTTCCAGGGGAACATTTATGGCCTCGCTCTTATGGGTTGAATAATGGCTCGTCTGTAACTGATCTACATAATATTCGTCCAGCAGATGTGAATGGTAAGTTGGGCTGCATTCCCCTCTTGATATAAGTAAGAGGGCAGCTCAGTAAACTTGAAAGGTTGTTGCAGTGAATTCATCAAGGGGTAACAAGTACTATGGAGAGTGTGATGTTAAATCAACTACATGTCTGAAGCCAGCAAACAAAGAAGCTTCTTCTGGCACAGAAACTGACAAGAAGAGATGGGCACCACCTGTGGAGGTTTTTTCTTTTCTATCTTTGTCATTTTTCATTGCTTATGTCCTTTGATAAGCATAAATTGACCTTTGTTAGTTTATGGCCGTCACCGATGAGGTTTGCTTGCATCACTTTTAAGTGTGTGTTCTTTGTGGTTGTGTCGATATTAAACTGATGACATCTAAGTCAAACCTAAACAAAGCTCATTTATATTAATGTACCCTAACTGCCCTGACAGGATTTTCAGCCCTGTGCCATGACACATTTAGGCATGTTTTTTCCTCAGCTCTGCCCTTGAGGTCTGTTAAGAATAGTAGGGTAGTATGTGTAAATTGTTAATAGTAAGAGGGTGTATGTATAATTCTTATTATTGTAGGTCAACTATAAATACAAAGATGTATGAGAGTTAGGTTAAGTTTTTAACCTCTCTCTTTGTCTCTAATATTATGTTAATCCTCCAAACTTAACATGGTATCAGAGCGTAAACGACCTTAAATATATGAACACTGTAGTACTGTAGTGGTGTGATTGTGGTGGCTGTGGTGTGTGGTCTCTATTCATCGCCCACTTGCGTCGTTCGTGGTGGTGGTGGTGTGGTGGCGTGATCACTTGTGGTGGTCTTGCTATTGACGTCAGCTTGTGGTGTTGTACTGTTGTTGTGGCTTCTGTTCTTCTGTTCATCGATCGTGGTAGTGGCTGTGGTGTTCGTTCGTGGTAGTGGCTGTGGTGTGTGGTGGTCTTGCGATTGAAGGCGGCTTGTGGTGTGTACTGTTGTCGCAGACCAGAGGGTTGCTAACCCTAACCAGCAAGGAAGAAGAAAGGATCCAACGAGGTCTGGATCAGATCGGGTCAAGTCAAGCCCAGGACTTAAATTTTAAGTCCAAATCCGGTCCAGCTTAGACCGGACCACGATTCAGGCCGATTCAGCAGTCTAGAAAGCCTAGTCGGTCCGGTTCAAAGGTCCAGAGAGCTCTGGTAGCCCGATTCAGTGGTTCAGCCTGGTTTCCATCCTGGTTCAGTGGTCCAGTCCGGTTTTCCTGGCCGGTTCAGTGATCCAGTCCTTTTTTCCAGGCCGGTTCAGTGGTCCAGGCCACTATTTCAGCCCAATTCAGTGGTCTAGTCCACTTTTCCAGCCCGGTTCAGTGGTCCAGTCCACTTTTCAAGTCCGGTTCAGTGGTCCAGTCCACTTTTCTAGCCCAGTTCAGTATTCTAGCTCTTCTTTTCTTCAGGTTTATCACTCCAGCAGCCTTGAGCAGTTTTGTTTGCTTCTATTATTTGCGATATTACTATGGAACCCAAGAATAAAAATGATGATAATCAGGTTGATCTTATTTCATCCACATCACCAAATATTTCTCCTATGGTTCTACTTAATGGTCCTATGACATCTGTTAAACTCAATGAGACCAATTAGGNTTTGTCTCTAATATTATGTTAATCCTCCAAACTTAACATGTTAATCCACAATTATGTTTTGTGGTCACGATCTGTTCAAGTGTTTCTTAGAGGTAAAGGTTTTAAGAAATATTTAGTGGATACTAAACCCAAGGAAGGTATTCCTGGGTATGATAATTGGGAACAAGAAGATGCTCAGATTATTTCATTGCTATTGAATAGTATTAAGCCTAGTATCAGTTCTACTTTGTTTTATCTTGACACTACCAAAAAGATCTGGGATCACTTAGCCACCATGTATTCTGGCACTGGGAATTTCACTCGTGCATATGAAGTATGCAAATAGTATTTTCGTCTGGAGCAGGGTACTCTGAGTCTTGAGGACTATTACTCTCATATTCAGGGAGTGTGTGAGGAGTTGAAGCTCTATCACTCCTTTACTACTGATGCAACGGTTTGACAGAAGTAACATGAGGATTTGAATGTTGTTCGATTTTTAGTTGGTTTGAAACCTGAGTACGAGTCTATTCACTCTCAGATTTTGAGTGGTTCTAGTCTTCCATCCCTACTGGAGGTTTTCTCCCGCTTGCAGCGTGCTACCTTCTCTACCGGTTCATCTAATATGGAATCTAATGTGCTTATTGATCGTTCAGCTCTTGTTGTCCCGAGTAGCCATGGTGACAGTTCCCAAGGTGGTCGTGGTAACCGTGGTGGTCGCGGAGGTCGGGGAGGCCGTATTGGAGATCGTGGAGGGCGTTCAAAGTCTCGTTCATGCTCTCACTATGGTCGTGAGGCCACACTATTGATTACTGCTGGGATTTACATAGCAAGTCTTTGGGTGTTGCTAATCAGGTGTCTTATCAGGATGACACCCTGACTCCTACTGCTATACCTCGGTCCGCTCCACCTGATTTTGTATCAGTTACTCTTACACGGGAGGAGTATGCTCAGTTTTTGTCCCATCAGCAGGCTGTTCCATCTTCCTCCACTGTTNGAGTATGCTTAGTTTCTGTCCCAATAACATATTGTTCCATCTCCCTCCACTGCTACTTTTGCCCAGTCAGGTACTACTTCCACTTGGTTATTGTTCTTCACTCGAAGTCCTTGGATCATAGACTCTGGCGCCTCTGACCACATGACTGGTGCGTCTGATATTTTTTCTACTTATAAGTCTGCTACTTCCACACGTAGTGTTACCCTTGCTAATGGTACTTGTTCCAAAGTTTCAGGTTTGGGGACCACTAACTTGAGTCCTGATATGTCCCTATTTTCCGTGTTATTTGTTCCTCAGTTTCCTTTTAGTTTACTTTCCATTAGCAAGATTACTCGTTCTCTCAATTGTTCTGTAACTTTTTATCCCTCTTATTGTGTCTTTCAGGATTTCAAGACAAAGAAGAAGATTGGTACAGGGCATGAAGCTGGTGGTCTATATTACCTTGACTTTGATTCACCTACCCGAGCTTTACAGACCTCGTTGTCTCCTTTTCAATGGCATTGTCGTCTTAGACATCCCTCTCTCCAGAATCTGAAGTGCCAAGTTCCTAGTCTTAGTTATGTGTTGTCTTTGTCTTGTGAAGCTTGTCAACTTAGTAAGCATCACCGTGTGTCATTTCAGTCTAAAGTCAATAATTGTGTGTCTAATCCATTTGAATTAGTCCATTCTGATGTATGGGGTCCCAGTGTTATTTAAGGCGTAAAGCGAATCGAAGCGATCAAGGCTCCTAATGCCTTGGCGAGAAGCGAGAAGCGAAGTGATACGCTTTACCGAAGCGAAGCGAACAGTTAAAAGAAAAAAAAAATTTTGTTTAATTACTTCTAAACAATCTATAACAATAACAATTTCATATTTCACATGTATCAACTAGCAAAAAAAAAAATTTCACATATATCGAATGCATTAAGTTTTGAGTTTTTATCTGTTTGTATAATTTTTTTAAACGTTTAATTCCATTAATATCAATAAAAAGAAATAAATGTATTTTGTTCGGAGCATTACTTATCAAAAAAAAAAAAACAGACAGCGATCAACAGCAAAAAAGTCATAATTGCTTAAAAAATAAAAGAGACTACTAATCAGAGACGAATCAGAAAAAAAAAAAAAAAAATCGGTGAGGAAGGAGTAGCAGAGAGAAGAAGAAAGAAGAAAAAAACAAATAGAAGAGAGGAGAAGAAGAAGAGACTAACCTATTCTTTGTGTCGATGAGGAAGCAGCAGCAGTGGTCAATAGTGCAGCAATCGTGTTCCCTGTGTCCAGCGATGGTCCAGCAGCTCCGACGATGGTCCAGCACTCCAGCTCCAGCAAAGACAATCTGAAAAAAAAATTAAGTTTGGGTTGTATTTATAGGATAAGGGAATAATTCAGTATATCCATGTCGTAAAAAATTTTTTCCATTTGCCTAATCAACGACCCATAATCAAAATAACAAAAAAACGCCTGGGACTATTAAGGCGCTTGCCTTGTCGCCTGTCGCTTTTTTGCTCGCTTCGCCAGGAGTCCTCTAGGCGAGATACCCTCGTCTCGCCTCGCTTCTCGCTTAGGCGCACTTTTCAAAACACTGCGGGATCTAATAAAGAATATTTTCTCTAATAAATATTCTTATTTTGTGACATTTGTGGATGACTATTCTCGTGTGACTTGGTTATTTTTTATGAAAGCTCGGTTTGAGTTATTCTCTATCTTTGAGACTTTTTGTAAGAAAATAAAAATTCAGTTTGGTTGTCGTATACATACTTTACGTTCCGATAATGCTCGGGAATATGAATCTGATCCCTTTTCAACGTATTTTAGTAAAACTGGTATTATTCATCAGACTTTTTGTGCTTACACATCTCCACAAAATGGTGTTGCTGAACGCAAGAAACCGTCATTTGTTGGAAATCACTCGTGCCCTGTTATTCCAGATAAATATTCTCCAATATTATTGGAGTGATGTTGTTCTTACTGCTTATCATCTTATTAATCATATGTCATCCTCTTTGTTAAATGGGCAAAGTCCATATTCTGTTCTTTTTCCCGATAAGCCTTTATTTTTCCTGGCTCCTAAGGTTTTTGGTTGTATCTGTTATGTTCACAATTTGGGTCCTGGGTTTGACAAACTTGACCCTCGAGCAACCAAATGTGTATTTTTTGGTTACTCCCGAACGCAGAAGGGGTATCGTTGCTACAGTCCTTTTCTGCACCGATACTTTACTAGTGCCGATGTCACGTTTGAAGAGTCTGTTCCATACTTTACAGCACCTTCTCAGCCTTTGGATCTAGACTTTGGATCCTCTCCGGTACCACCATTTCTTTCTTCATCTTCAGATATTCCGCTGTCCACTGTGTTACCATCTACTTTACATCTCCGTGGCTACTCTCGCCGTCCTCGCCCATCGACTGAGGTGCCCGTACCGTCTTCTTTGCCGCCTTCTGATCTTGGTACATCAAGTAATTTAGACTCTTTAACTATTGCTCTTCGTAAAGGTACTCGTTCGTGTGTTGCTAATCATCTCATTTCTCATTTTGTTTCATATGATGCCTTATCTTCTGTCTTCTCCTGTTTTACTTCCCAATTATCTACTATATCTATTCCTAAACATTTACAGGATGCATTATCTGATCCGGGTTAGAGGAAAGTTATAGAGGAGGAGATGGATGTTTTACATCATAATGGGACTTGAGATCTCGTTCCTTTACC